AAGCGGTGGGGAACACTTGAAGCTGTGGGGAACACTTGAAGCTGTGGGGAACACTTCAAGCGGTGGCGCTGGCGAACAACTGTAGGTCACACCCCCGTTTGTTTCCTCCTGCCTTAGGGAGGCTCCAGGACCCACCCCCTGGGAGCAGGGTCAAGGTCAAAGAGGGCAGGCTCTGCAGAGGAGGACACCCAGCTCCAGACGTCCCAGGCGCCTCAGCCAGCCTCCCAGCGCCTCTCTACACCCCCCACCTCCCCACGGCTCTTGTTAGCGCCACCGCCCAGTGTTAGCATCTCTACAAGTGCCATCAGTTACGCAGGGAAAGGCTACGGGGTAAGTGCTAGGTGGAGCTATGTTACAACGACAGGAAAAGGCTTTACTTACGACAAAGCTGTACTGTGGAGGGAGACAAGGAAAAAGCCATCAGTTAATGCTGGGCTGGGGCACATCCTGGGAAGGAGCCACACTCTGGCTTTGCCAGCAAGTCTGCTCAAGGCCTGCAGGGCGCTCGTGATGGCACCACACCACCTCTCATCTCACCCGACCCTCAGCCCCCAGAGCAAACGCGTCCATGTGTGCCCCTCACCTTAAACACTCAAACCACCAGGGTGTGGGGATGGTGGGCAGTGCCAATGGGATGCTAGGTCAATTCTGCAACTTTCAGACCCGGGCTTAAGACCCAGGTACCACTGAGCCTATAGGCTGCAGTCCAGGGCCCACAGGTCAGGACAACCTCCCCAAATGTCATGGCAGCCCATGGCCACAGAGGCTCAGACTGGCTCTTGACCAATGCCAGGCCACACTTGCCTCTGCCTAAGCCCAGACTACTCCTAGCCACCCTGGGTACAGGATGGGGCCTTCAACCACGCTGCACCAGCTCAAACGACGCCTGGCCTGGGGCGCAGGCTCCCTCACCTTGGGGTCCATGCGCAGGGGCGTGTTACGCTTGATGAAGGACTTCATGACGTTGCTGCGGGACACAGAGGTGGGGGTCATGAGCATCTGGTTCTTCTGCACGGTGTGCAGGAAGGTCCGAAGGGGCCGCACCACCTGCAGAGGGGGCCAGGGTCAGGCCTCGGTGGACCAGGATGGGGGCACCGAGGAAGGCAGATGCCGGCTCACCTTGCTGGTCGGACAGGGTGGGGAGGGGGTCTTGCTCCTGGGGGGCTGCAGCTCCTCATCCTCCAGGTGCTGTTCCTCGTCCAGCTCACTCACTGCCTGCTTGTAGCTGCGTTTCCTCCTGCGAGGGGGCAGGTGGCAGCAGTGTCACAGGTAGGCCAACCCCAGCCCCGACAGAGGGGCTCCTGTAGCCCCTTCCTGGAGCCCCAATCACACCACACAAAAGGTCACCCGTGAACAAAACTGGGCCCAGCCCACAGAACTCCAGAGGTGGGGTCTCCCCGACCGGCCCTCTGCTGCCCATCAGAAGGGAAGTGGCCAGTCCAAGGTCACACAGGCAGAAGGACACAGAAGGGCAGGGTCTTTGAGCTGGTCACCCCACTCCCAGGCCAGCGCACGCCCCACAGCATCGGTTGCCTGCTTCATTACATCAGAATCCCAGGCCACGCCCCAGCTGAGGTAGTGGAGGGTCCTGACCATGGCCTCGAGGTTCACACCCATCTGGGCCCCTTGAAACAGTCGCCTGCTTTCCCCTTCCCCAATGCGAACCTGGCACTCTGGGGTGGCTCCATGGGCCCATCTGTCTGCTCAGTCTTGACCTCTGTGAAGACAGCAATTTAGGAGGGGCTACAGGGATGATGCAGCAGGATGGGGGTGGTGGAGGGGCTGGGGAAGGGACCCACCATCAGCCCCCCTGGCAGACCCCAGGGTGGCCAGTGGCAAAAGCATCAGCCTCAGCACCAACTGGACTCAAGAAATCTGTGGGTGACCAGGCCCAGCATGCTACCCTCAGCCCGTACACCCCTCCCCCTCAAGCCTGGCCCCTGTGCCATCCAATTGAGGCAGCCCCAACCCGGGCCCACCCTCTCTAACAGTGAGAGCTGTGTGTGGCCTACCGCAGGGGCAGAAGCATTCCAGAAGCCACACATGCTAACAGGTCACCTCTAACCACACCCCGGCCCTTTCAGCTGACATGACAGGGACAAGGTTCCTGCTGCAGGGTCAGCTTGGCAAGCTCTGACTGCTTCGCTGCTAGGAAGAAGCACCCCCTGGAAAAATAGCTCCCTTGGGCCCATTATCATCCTTTACAAAGGTCCTTGCAGCAACCCTGGGGGCTGTAGGGCTGGCTGGCCATTGTCCCTGACCCCGTCATAAAGATGGGGCAGCCACATTCGAGACCTCACAGCTGCAGCGCCCTTCCCAAAAAGACTCCCGGACAGCTCCCAGAGCCTGTGGCTCTCCTGTCCAGCTGTGGGGCACCCTCCTCCCTGCTCTCTTCAGAGGGGAGAGCCTATGAGGGTCAAAGGTGAATGGAGGCAGAGACAGAAGCAAAGGCCAGGTGTCTGATCCCCAGGCTATGGTTCCGCCCGCTGCCCCTCAGCGTGCAGCTCAAGGCCCTGACCTATTCAAGTCCCTGCCCCATGTCCTGCCCTACCAGGTGGGGCCACTCATGTGGCACTCAGCAGCAGCTCCAGCCAAAAGTGGGGAGATGAAACCTACAGACACAAAGGAGAACGATGCACCTCCCAGGTTTCATTTACCTATAGGCCCAGAAAATGGGGCTTCCTTGGCCCCAGGAAAAAATTCAGGCCGAGGCCACAAGGCCCGCTATGGGTATCTGCACACGGCAGGTGGGGAAGCCTCACCATGCTGCTCTTCAGAGGGTGACTCCTGGCAACCAGCTGCAGGCCGAGAGCTAGGTGTGCTAATGGTGATCTTGGTGGCATTAGGGGGCGACAAGGTCCTCCCTTCATTCTTGGGGACCTGTGGGAAAAACAAGACTCTAGGGGTCTCCACCTGGGACTGAAGGTCCAGGATGGGTGTGGTGCCAGGCGCAAGCCCTGAAGTGCCCCCCAAGTCCTCTTCCCCAGCTTGCCCTCCTCACCTCCGGTTCTGCGGCCTCCATGTGCTCCGCCTCCTCCCTGGGCTCCTTCTGCTCGGAGCTGAAAGGACGGCAGGAGGCATTGTGGAGACGCCTAGTGAGCCCAGACTCCTCCCCACAGGGAACCCCTCCACCAGCCCCTAGAGTAGGGACCCAGGCGAGGTCCACATCAGACACTTGGCCTGAACAACAAACTCACAGACCCCAGGCACGAAGGAAACACAGGGGCCAAAGCCAGTGGCTCCCTTGAGCCACTATGTGCCCAGGAAGTCGAGGAAGTCAGCTTCGTCTCACACCCATCGGAGCTTTGACGGGAGAGTTGAGCCGTATCCCAGCCCCACCTTCACCCCTCAGGCCCAGATGAACCACTTCTCCACTCTCTGTTGGGCCAACCCAGCCAGCAGGTCTGCCCAGTCATCCCATTCCCTCTTCCCAAGCACTGGCTCTCTGCTCCAAAGCGAGTGGGGAGCCCCATGGGCAGCCAGGCTGAGGACGGACCCCTGGTGCTAATCCCTGGGCAGGTCGCCAAGCCCCAGAACTGAACTCACATGACTTTCTGGGGCACCTCGACATTCAGGAGTCTCTCCAGGTAACTGTGACCTGAGGGGAAGACATAGAAACAAAAGACGCTATGAGAAACCGACCAGAGCACCCCAGGTGCCACTGAGAGGCCCAGGGAATCAGGCTCCAGCAAGGCCTCGACATCTCTTCTTCCACAGCCAGGCCCTCTCCACCACATAGCCCCTTCCTTTCACTGGACAGAGGCCCTGCCCGCTGCCCTGAGCACTCAGCCTCATCACCCCCTCAGCTCCTAGCATCGTTAACTCAATGGAGCTATCAGTTTCACGTCCATGCTACTTCCTAGTGGCCCCTCCACTGGGTTGGGAGTATCTTGGGAAGAGACGCAATATGTGACTCAGCGCCAGGCCCCCAACTCCTAGCATGTGGCCAGATGCAAAGCAGCTTATTTACTGAAGAGGTATTTATTGGGTACCTATTATGTGCTGGGCCCTGGGCCAGGCCCTGGGGACACAGTGGTAAGCAAAACTGACAGAGCCAATACCACATCTAGACAACCATCATCAAGTAATCCTATAAACAACACTGTGATATGTGTGGTGACAGAAAAGAGCAGAGGGATTTGAAAGCCTAGAATGTGGGGATCTAAGCTGGTCTGGGGGATCAGACCCGAAAAATGAGGAGTTTACAGACAAAAGGGTTGGAGCGGGAGGGAGAAGCACATCCAGGCCAGTGGTTCTCAAAGTGTATTCTCGGTCCCCTAGGAGTCCCCAAGATCTTTTTGGGGAGCCATGAGGTCATAACTATTTTCACCATAATACTAAAATATTATTTGCCCTTTTCACTGTGTTGACATTTATACTGACGGTGCAAAAGCAATGGTAGGTAAAACTACCAGCGTCTTAACATAAATCGAGGCAGTGACACCAAACTGTACTAGCAGTCACTGTATTCTTCCGCATCACATGCTCACAGTAAAAAGACTTCCAGTTTCACTGAAGAATGTGTTTGACGAAGGAGTAAAAAGTATTAATTTTATTAAATCTAAATGTTAGCACGTGTCTTTTTTATATTCTGTGTGATAAAATGGGAAGTATGCAAAATGCTATTCTGCTACATACCAAAGTCTCCGTGAAAAACACCCATGTGATCATCTTGAGTTGCCAGCTGAACTAGCCGTTTCTTTGTTTTTCATAGACTATTTTTAATTGAAAGAACAGCTGACAAACTACGGTTATTCGGCCTTGGGTTATGTGGCAGACACATTTTCTCAAAAACAAATGAAGTCAGCCTGTCACTTAAAGTAAAACAACTAACAGTGTCTGTTGCCAATAACAAAAAAAAAAAAAAAGAAAGAAAAAAAACTGAATTTTCAAGCCAAAAACAGAATTTTGAGAAACACGTATCCACCACCATGAGCTTCACAGTTTCCTAACACCTAAAGACTTTTCCAATGAGATCATGAAATAAATGTGAGTTTTTTTTGGATACTATATAATGAAGTGTGTTGACATTTGGAATATCCGCATACCTCAGTAAAACAATATTTTCCAAATGAGCAATGCGTGAGGTTACAAAATCACACACGGCTAAAAGATCCATTCAAAGTACAACATCTACCGACGCAGGATCAATGCTGTGGTTTCAGATTCCACGCTACAATGAACCTCTAAGACACTACCACTGGTTGCATTGGATGTAGAAACAAAGAATATCCACAATTATCTGAAAAGGCTATTAAAATACTCTTCCCTGTTCCAGCTACATAGCTGTGTGAGGCCAGATTTTCTTAATATGCTTCAAACCAAACAACATAACGCCAACAGGCTGAATGCAGACACCAGCTATCTTCTCTTAAGTCACACATTAAAGAGATTTGTAGAAACGTAGAGTAATGCCAGTCTGCTCACTAAATTTTTGTTTTGGGAAAGTTATTTATCCATTTAAAAAAAAAAAACTTTGTTATTTTTATTTTAAAATACATTAATCAATATGTTTTAAATGTCTCAGTTTTAATTTCTAATACAGTCAATACCAATAGATATAATCCTTATAATCAAAAGCTCTCTGGAGTTCTTAGTAATTGTTAATTCAAGCAGGTGCTGAGACTGAAAAGCTGAGACCCTCTGGTCTAGGTGGAAGGAACGACACCTGCAAAGGTCATGAGGCAGGAAAGAGTGTGACTTTCTCTGGAAACTGAAAGAAGGCTGGCCGGGCTAGCGCATCCTGAGCCTCAGGGAACCTGGCCAGAGGTGAGGCTGGAGAAGTGGCCAGGGTGAGGCCGGAGAGCACCCATGGGTCTAAGGAGAAGAGGGAAGATAGACAAGGAGCTGGAGCAGCAAACAGGGAGAGCCACAGAGAGAACTGGAGCCAAGACCTTCCGGGGTGTGAAGGAGCCGGGCATGTGATGGGGGGCAGCAGCTGCAGGGGCTCGGCTGGCAGTTACAGAGTTATGGCTGGTGGTTATGAGTGGTGAAGGCCTCCACTTGAAGAGTCTGTGGCCTGAAGCTATGGCTCCCATCATCTCCCCAGGCCTCCCAAGCCCTAACTCAAGTGCTTGCTGGCGAGAGGGCAGAAAAGAATCCGATGCTCAGGGTGAGAGGATGCCTATGTGACCACACAATTCCACCAGCACAAGACTTCTCTGGAATGTTAAGTGCCGGGTTCCCAGTACACCATTCAGATGTCAGTGCCAGGCTGGTGGGCAGGGAGGTGGCTAGGGGACCCAAGGAGAAGCCTGGCCTAAAAGCAGGACCCTGGAAACCCTGAAGCAGCTGCCCCTCTACCCCTGCCTAACTGCTTCAGAGCCCACCCACCTACCAGAGCACCTACTGCCCCACCCACCTCTCTTTGCCTGTGGCCCGCTCTGGGCAGCTGGGCAACTGGCCACAAGTGCAGAGGATAATGTCTCACCCAGCAGCTCCCTCGCCCCAAGGGGTAACTCCACATTGGCTTCCCCAGCTTTCCCCACGGCATCAGGAGCCAAGGAGTGGGCCCGCCCTTTGCTGGCGGCTTCTCTTCCAGGTCTCACGTCCCTACTCCCCAAACCCGAACCACATCCACTGCCACCAAGTCAATTCCAACTTACAGCGACCCTAGAGGACAGAGTAGAACTGCCTCATAGGGATTTCAAGGCTGTAATCTTTACAGAAGCAGACTGCCACATATTTCTCCCACAGAACGGCTGGTGGGTTCAAACCACAGACCTTTAGGTTAGCAGGCCAGCGCTTAACCACTGCACCACCAGGCCTCCTCCCCACACCCCAGCTGTAGGTATTTCCTTCACTTCCAAAATTAAAGACTTGTACTGAATCCCTGTTCAAGGGCTGCTCCTGGGGAAACCCAAAGACCCCACCCAGAGTTGCCCCCTACCCAGCCAAGCCCCAGAGGCTGAGCATTGGGAAAGCCTCCTAGGAAGTGCCCCTCCCCCATCACTCTACAGCCCTGCAGGGCCTCACCAGGCCTGGCCACGCCTCCGTGAAGCTTCCAGGATACAGCCTCCTGGGTTGCACCACCTGTTTGGTTTACAGAGATTCACTGAGCGTGTACCACACCCGAGCACTGAGATGGGCCCTTTATTCACATCTGAGGCAGGTGTGCCGACCACTTTACAGATGAGGAAACCGAGGTTCAGGGAAGGGGTACGCCCGAGGGCACCCAGCTAGGATCTGTGTGGCTCCAGGGTTTACCCTCCGTGATTTGCTGCCTCCCTCTTTGTCCTCTTCCTTCCACCTGAGCACTGGGCTGGGAGTCAGACAGACGGGGTCAGCGTGCACAGGAGAGGGGTCAAGGGGATGAGCAACCCAAGGGCTCAGAGCTGCAGATCTGGGAACCGACTGCCGTCGAGTCAATTCTAGTCGACTCCAACTCATAGCGACCCCAGAGGACAGAGTAGAACTGTCCCATAGGGTTTCCAAGGAACGGCTGGTGGATTCAAACTGCTGACCTTCTGGTTAGTAGCCGAGCTCTTAACCACTGTGCCACTGGGAAGTCTGACCCAAAAGCAGGGAGGCCTCTAGAGCTTCTCTCCCAGCCCTGCCCTGTCCTTCCTCTACTGCTCCAGGCTCGCCTGCTCCTTCTGCCCTTTTCCTAGATTCGATTCAGGCCTCAGGAAATCTCCAGGGCGCATGTGAACTATCCAGTCCCTTCCAAGAATCCAGAACTGGAAAATGTGCCACACTGCACATCTGTACACACCCTAGGAGCAGGCCCTCCCCAGGCAGTGTGACTCAGCAGAGGCCAAGGAGAAACCAGCCAAGGTAAGTGCCCTCACCTGCCTGAAAGGTCCCACCCTGGGGATCTTCACAAGGCTCCTCAACAAGCAGCCTGCCTCCGGGACAGGACGAAACACGTGGGACTCAAGCCTCAGCTTCCCAGCCGCCAGACTCTGTGGCTGCTTTACATCCGTCTCCTTCCCTATAAAGCGGGAAAGCCCTCGCAGGCTAACAGCGCTGCTGTGAGGACCAACTAGACCACCCTTTAGCTTATAAATCTTAAAGCTCAGGCAGGGTGGATACAGAACTAGCCTGTCTCCTCCAGCAGCCTCTCCCTGGTCTCCCTGCCTCCTTCCTGCCCCTCCTCTTGGTCATTTTCCACATGGTGCCAGGGTCCTTCAGTGAACCATCACTAGGCCACATCCTCAGCTTCAGTGGGATGGAGCCCAAGCTCCTCGAGAGGCCCCAGACACCCCATCACTCACTGATTCATGCCTCTGTGTCTTTGCACAAGCCATTCCCTCTGCAGGGATACCTTCCCTGCATTCTTCCACCTGACAAAAGCCCAGGTATCCTGCTCAGACCCCACCCCTCCACGCAGCCAGCCCTGACTCTCAGAGCTCCTGTCACCCGCTCCCACTGGGACAGCGGTCCCCTGAGCTGGGACCTGATGACAATAAAACCAGCTAACATCACCAAGCCCTCCTACATGCCAGGCCCTGTCTAAGCATCCTATGGGGATTAACCAAAGAAACCTCACAAGGACCCTTGAAGGTGATGCTATTATTATCCTCAGTCAACAGATGAGGAACTGAGGCTCACAAAGCAGCTCCCGTAGCCTGCCCGAGGTCACAGAGTGAGCAAACGGCTGAGCTGGGATTCAACCCAGGCCGTCGAGCTCTGGAGTCATCTTGATTCTCCCCCTCCTGCCTCTCATCAGATACTCAGTAATCTGCCTCCCCCAGAAGAGCCTGCTGCAATGAGAATTCACATCTCGTCGCCTTTATATTTCCAGACCAAAGCCAGTTTTGCTGACAGGAGGCAGCCCACAACAGGGTGAACGTGAGCCTCTGCAGGAGGAGGCAAACAGGAGGAACACGCTGGCCTCAACACGGCCATTACCCACACGGCCACTGTGGCTACCTCCCTGGACCTCATAAAAGTACTGGACGAGATTAGCACCATCCAGTACAATAGCACTAGCTACAAGTGGCTATTTAAATGTAAATTAGGCAAAATTTAACAGAGTTTAAAATCCAGCTCCTCAATCACGTTAGCCACATTTCGAGGGCTCAACAGCCACATGTGGCTAGTGGCTACCGTACAGGACAGTACAGATATGGAACACTGCCATCACCGCAGAATGTTCTATTGGACAGCTCCTGGCTACATGCCCCCGGAACCTTCCCACCGAGCGGGGCAGCAAGGACCACCCGTGGCACTCCACCCGCTGCCAAGCCCCCAGACTCACAGATGATGCGGGTGGAAGCGGCTGGCTCTTTGGAGGCTTTGCTGGCAATCTTTCTGCTAGACCTTCGGATGGTGTTCTCCTGCTTAGCCACCAGGGAGTACTTATCGGCCAGCGAGGCCTGGGGACCCGGGGCAATCAGGCTGCGCCGCACTGACTTTGGGTTCGCGTGGGAGCCCGTCGGCATCGAGAAGTTATCCGGCAAGACAGGGGCCAACACCTGCTCCTGCCATGGAGAGTCTGGAGAGCTAGGCATGTCATGTGGGACAGAGGAAGCCTGTGCAATCCTGAGCTTGGATGCGGACCGCCCTGCCCCAACCCCTTGGGCCTTGGGGCCCTGGGGGGTGGCCATCAGGGGGCTCACAGAGACAGACTCCAGTCTCCCAGCCTCTGACTTCTTGGGTGTCGACTCCTTGTCCGATGTCAGGATTTCCTGAGAGGCTGGAGCCTGCGACGGAGCCTGGGCAGAGCTGAGCTGGTTGAGGTGCTGCTCAGCACTCTGGCGTTCACTGACACCTATCTCCACCAAGGGCACTGGCTGGCACTGGGCTGGAGTATTCTTGGAATTCTTGGTCAGTGCCTTGGGGGACTCGGGGGTGCAGGAGGAAGCAGCTGAGGCCGCAGTAGCCGCTGCAGCCGCCGCAGCTGCAGCTCGAGTCAGCCGCCCCAAGACGGAGCCGTTCTCCCCCACCACCGTGGCCAGCTTCTCCACTTTGTCCTTGCTGCAGAGGCGCCGGGAGCTCAGCTGGCTGCTCCGAGTCTTCCTGCGGGATAACCTGAAGGAGGCAACAGAGCAGAGGCTGAGGCGGCAGCCCAGCAGGGCAGCTTGTGGTTGCTGGGTGCTGTCAAGTGGATTCCTAAATGACAGAGTAGAACTGCCCCGTAGGGTTTCCTAGGCTAAAATCTTTTCAGGAACAGATCACCAGGTCTTTTCTCCCACGGAGCTGCTGGTGGGTTCGAACCACTGACCTTTCGGTTAGCAGCCGAGCACTTAACCACTGTGCCACCAGGGCTCCCAGCAGGGTTGGGGCACCCTAAAAAGGAGCTGGGGCACACCAGTCTTCCGCCAGCTCAACCAGGAGGGCCCAGAAGCTGAAAATCCAGGTGTAGTCCAGGCTCTGCCACCTCTAGCCATGTGACCCTGAGCCACTCCTGTCTGAGCCTCAGTCTCCCTACCTGTGACTCTGGGTAGTACCAGTCCTGCTGGGAAGATTAAATTCACATAAAGGAAAGGACTGTCCCTAATACAGCTCCCAGTGACTGAGGTCACACTGTGCCAACCACCCCACTGGGGGCTTTACACGCACTCTCCTAATTCACGAGACGGCCCTGAGAGGTAGGTGCCGTTACCCTACTGTAAAGGAATCTGAGGCTCGGAGTGGTGGAGGGCATACAGATGCAAAGGGGCAGAGCTCGACTTTACACCCAGCGCTGCCTGACCCCAAGATCCAGCCTCTTTGCCCTGGTACTCTGCAGCCCACAGCCACTCCTATGAGGTACCAGAACAGCAGCAGCGAGAGTTTGGGAACAAACTCGCCTGGTCCACGTCTCTGGTCATTCTCACCCAAACAGGTCAGCTCCTCTTTCTTCTCTCACCACTGTAAACCCTTCCCATCCTCCAAGGCCCTGATCAAACATGCTCCCCCCAACACACACACACGCACGCACGCACGCACGCACGCACGCACGCACGCACACACACACCTGCTGCAGCCACACTCTGACTCCATGGTCTTCGGTCATGCTTTCAGTTCCCCCTCCACCAGCATCCTGCCCCTCTGCGTGACTCACGTGACACCACTACCACCCCACCCCTGCAGGGGCTGCTCCTGTTGGCAGGCTCCCCATTAACACCTGCAGAATCAAACTCAGTGGGGCACCAAGCCTCAGCAGACCCCTACCGCCCAGCTGGCCCAGCTCATGGTGGCCTCCAGCTCCTCCTACCTTTTCCGAACTGGGTCTCTATTTTCATCCTGAACAGAAGAAACCCGTCTCTTCTTCCGTCGGTTCTTCTGAGAAGGCGTTTTGGGCATCAGCTCGGGCTCTTTGCTGAATTCTCTGGTTGGTACAAGGAGGGTGATGCTCGTGGCTGACTGGGAATCGCTGGCCCCCTCCCCCGTCTGGCCCAGCCCCCACCCCGTTTCCTGACAGAGGCAGCCAAGCTGGGGGGACCAGCACCAGATGAACTCCCAGAGGCCACGTGCAAGTCATCTGTCCAGCACTTGGGGTTCCTCCTGCAGAAACGCAGGGGCAAAAGGCTCCGGGCAAGCCTCTGCCAGGCCCACACCCCAAGGCCCAGCCACAGAATCAGGAAAGTCAGGACACACCCTCTCCCCGGGACCTAGAGGGACAGGGCAGAGGTTCTGAAGGAAATCACAGGAAAGGAAGGAGGGGGTCCAGTGAGAGACCCAGAAGAACAGGGATACCATGAGTGTTGCTGAAAGAAGCAGAAAGGAAGGCGAGGGAGAAGCTAGGCGTCCCCCCATCGCCCTCCCTCCCTACCTACATCCTACCCACCCCAGGCCCACCCTAGGCTGCCCCTGGGTGAGAGCAGAGGCCCAAGTGTGAGGAAGAAGCCAGCAGCAACGGGGGTCTGCAGGAAAGGGCTGGGCAAAGAGGAAGGGGTGGGGGCGCCAGGAGGAAGGAGAGGGCAGAGACCTGTACTTCCTCCCACTGCCACCAGGGGCTCACGTCAGAAGGGCCTGTCTGCCTCCAGCGACAGGTGCTGGTGTCCTCACCCTGGCAGGACCACCAGCCGCCAGGCAAGGGGCTCAACCTCTCCTTCCTCTTCCCGCTACACCAGGGCAGGCCCCCTGCACCCCATGCACTCAGGAGGGACAGGCTGTCTGTCCTGCCTGTCAGGCAGGGAAGCGGGGCTACTTTGTCCGCAAGGCCGGAGCAGCCAGGCAGCCCCCAGCGGCCCGGTCCCCAGACCCCTTCTCTCACCTGGTGAACATGCGCTCTGCTTCCTCCTCAATTTCCTCCAGCCACACCATGTCCTTATTGTCCACGTTACAGACAAACTCCAGGAGCTTCTGCTCACACAGCTCCAGCAGGTGAATGGGCCCTGGGGCTGTCGTCCCCATGGCAGCGATGTCTGGTGAAGGCAGGGACAAGAGTCACAAGGGCTGAGGGCTGGGACCAGAGACTTCTCCAGGGCAAGAGCCTGCCAGGCCCCACCTGCAATCACAACAAAACACCCAGGACCTGAAGCAGGGACCCTCCCTGCTCACAGCCACTCCCCACAGCTGCAGAACTCCAAATGCCAATCCACTATCCGCACCTTTGCAAAAGAAAGGTCTTTCCACTCATTCTTTTCAAACAACACACACACACACACACACACACACACACACACGCACACACGCACACACACGCACACACACACGACAGCACAGCTGTCCCCATAAGTCCACACTTCCCAATCAATTTTGATATCAACAGCCCCTTAGGCAAATGGCCTTTTCTTCCCACTACACTAACCGCAGCGGAGAGCACCATGCCCATGACTGTGGGTGGCTGCAGAGCAGAGGTCTCCATCCAAAGACAGCACCGTTTAAGGAAGCCGAAATCAAAACAAAGGTTCACAGAGGAGCTAGAGAAGGAATTAAGGTGACAGGGCAATGCCAGCTGCCTTTCTGCATCAGGGAGAAACGGCGACCCCCACGGGAGCCCTGCCCATCTGCCCAATCCTGCGGGCTCTCCAGGTCAGGCAAGAAAGGGCTGAGACACCACCACCCTGCCCCTACACACAACCTGATCCCAGACATCAGGCCAAAGAACATCAAACCCAACTGCCTCCTTAAGAGGCCAGTGAACAGAAGGGGGTCTGCATTCCAAAGCAGTCAGTAAGGAAATAGGGGTCCAGAGACTTGCTCCTCTCCAAGCACCCTCCCGAACGCTCTCCCTTGAGCTGAAATGCCCTAGAAACAGACAGGGAAGCACTGGGGGAGTGGATAAGCAATATCTTATTTCTGAGAAAACTTGTCTACAAATATTGGGCAGGAGAAAGCACAAAACCAATTTTCTCTTAATTTCTTAAAAAGCTAGCAGCGTGGGTATCCTCCTTGAGACTTTGTTATAAAAGCATCACACAGCAGCCCCAGGCAAGGAAGCATTCTAATAGTCATAGCTGAGGCTCAATAGATATGTCAAGTGGGTGAATGAATGAAAGAACAAATGAATAGGTAAGTGGTCAGTCATAGGCCGTAATAATGAAGGGCACGTCTCATTTCATGGCAGTGACCCACAACCCCCTATCTATACCTTCAAAACTGAGGAGAATCACACATAGCTCACTCAGCCTCCCCGCCTAAGACAGAAGATCCTAGAAGGTAGGTAAGTGGCTGATCCCTTGGACTTTATAACGCCTAACACCAAATCAGGTTGCAGCCTCAAGGGACTTCTGGTTCTTCTGGACTGATTTTCCCCACTCACTCTGCTCTGGGCACCTAGCCTTTGTTCCTCGAACAAACTCTGCCCTCAGTCTGGAATGTTCTGTCCCCTACTTTGTACACCTCCTTCCTCATCACTTGGATTTCAGCTCCTCTGAGAAAACGTGACCACCAAACTCAAGTAGCCCCTCTGCCATGATCCCATCTCTTTATTTCAATTCTCTGCATGACACTTGGGTTATTGTTGATCTGTTTGCTTACTGCCTGTCTCTGTCCACTCAACATTTGCTCTCTGAGGGCAAAGCCCTCGTCTGTCTTGTTCATCATTGAAAGTTTAGAGCCCGGCACAGAAAAAATACTGAATGAATGAATTAATCCACCTGTAAACTCTGCACCTAGAGATAAACATCCTACAGGTAACCTTCCCCCGCCGATACACACACAGGGATACTAAAAGAGCTCACTCTGAACTAGTTAGAACACGCCATCCACCTCCACAGCCCCAGCACCCAGGGCAAGGACAGCAGGAATCAGGGCAGGGTCACACGGGCAGGATCACGGAGGCTTTAGATGGAAGTCTCGGCCCTGCAGCCAACCACAGTCACGGGCATGGCCCTCTCCACTGCCATCCCTCCAGCTCACACCAGCCCCTCTGCCCCCTGAGCACAGCCCTGGCAGAGTGCAGGGCCCCAGTTCAAGGTCAGGAAAGAGAACAACTGTCTAGGAAGCTGAAATCAAAACAAAGGTTCACAGAGGTGCTACAGAAAGTAATAACTTACTAAGGTTTTTTTTTTTTTAAAGTATTTATCTGAAATAGCAATTTGGGCAATAGCTTCTTTGACAAAGTCCAATAAAGTGTTTGGGCTTCCTGCACAGGGGAAGTTTGTTTTTAGCCGACCTCAGCTTGGCCATTTAAAAAGGTCACCTTAAGTTACCAAAGAGTTGACTCTGAGAAAGGACTCAGTGCACCAAGAATCAGGCCCCTGGGATAAGCAGCAAAAATCTCATCTCCAGTCCATGTAAGAGTCTGTGCACAGACTCAGCGTACCAGTGCCCAACACCTGGCGCCCAAACACCTTACCAAGAAAGACAGGAGCTCGTCCGTCCACGACTCCCTGATCTGCCTGTGGCTACTTCTCTCACACCAGATCAGATGCCGCCACCGCCCTCCTCTGCCTCTCCTGTTCACAGGATTCAGGAAGTTGGGTACCTAACCCTCTACCACATCTCGGTGCATAACGCTGCATAAGCTGCTCCCATTTACTGAGTCCTACCCCATGCCTTGGCGGGCATCACTTCATTTAATTCTCGTCACAACCTCGCAGACACTCATGTAGAGATAAGGAAACTGAGACAAAGGGAAGTTAAACCAGAGTCACCCAGCAAGTCAGGGGTGCAGCCTGGATTTAAACTGTGCTCTGAACCAGTAGCTATATACCGCCTCCTAGATTTCAGCCTCTGAAAGGCAGGCGCCTAGTCTGGTCTCTAGGCACCCCCACCTGAAGCCCACGGTGGCTGGATAGAACTGAACCGCTGACAGCAAGCACGCTGGGAGATTGACAAGATAAGGGGGAGCATCGGCCCCGGAAACGTCAGTTTAAAATGCTGCTCAGCTGCAGGGGGATGGGGGGGGGGAGGGTGCTAACTGTACAGAAACTCCAGATGGCATGATTCTGCCAAACCTTCCTGCGGTTTCGAGCTTCCTGCGCGTCCAAGTCAACAGAGACTTATTGACGACCTTCTAGGCACAAAACAAGGTGCTAGGCACGGGGGGTGGGGAGGTAGGGTCCGGGGCGCGGGTATTCTCTCGGAACATGGGGTCTCGATGGAAGGGGGAGGTCATCTCAGGCCCCAAGACCAAGCCAGGTCACCTCGCCACTTGGAAAGAAGAGGTGACCCTACGTTTCTAGAGCCGCAAGCGGCAGGGGGGGGGGGTCACGCCCCCGGTCCGGAGTCTGCGGGAGGGATAACAAATCGCCAAGCACCCCCACCCCACCGGCTGCCCGCGCGCACTCACTTGACTGTCCCGCGTCTCCTACGTGCTGCTGCGATCCGAATCCAGCAGACTCCCTAGCCAGCCCCGGGCCCGCCCAGACCCGCTCGGCTCCCGGCCTCCAGGCTAGCAGCTCGGGAGGAGAAATGGGGCCGTGCAGCGCGGGCGAAACCTACGATTTTCAAAACCGAAGGTTCAGCCAATCCCCGACAAGTTTGTCTGGGCGACTGCAAAACTCTAAGCCAATCAGATAATAGAAATCTCCAGTC